ACTAAGGGATGAAATAACGCATCATTGTGACAACTAAGGGATGAAATAACGCATCAGTGACCACTAAGGGGTGAAATAACGCATCATTGTGACAACTAAGGGGTGAAATAACGCATCAGTGACCACTAAGGGGTGAAATAACGCATCATTGTGACAACTAAGGGGTGAAATAACGCATCAGTGACCACTAAGGGGTGAAATAACGCATCATTGTGACAACTAAGGGGTGAAATAACGCATCATTGACAACTAAGGGGTGAAATAACGCATCATTGACAACTAAGGGGTGAAATAACGCATCATTGACAACTAAGGGGTGAAATAACTCATCAGTGACCACTAAGGGGTGAAATAACTCATCAGAGTCACGGTTCAATAACGCGTCCTCTCCCCAAGCAACTCTCACATCTGAAAAATCTCAATATGAAAAGTCTTTTGATAACAGAAGTTTTTATTCTTTATTTCATATTTGTAGTGGAGAGAGAGAGAGAGAGAGAGAGAGAGAGAGAGAGAGAGAGAGAGAGAGAGAGAGAGAGAGAGAGAGAGAGAGAGAGAGAGAGAGAGAGAGAGCAGACAACGTAGCTGGAAAAGGAGGAGACATAGATGGTTGTGAAGCACTTTTCTGAGCACAAGTTTGTATACTGTTGAGCTCATATTATCATTGTTGTAGGGGGAGAGGCCCATCAGGTCCATCACGGCCATCAGGTTCATTAGGCTCATCAGGTCCATCAGGTCCATCACGGCCATCAGGTTCATGAGGCCCATCAGATCCATGTGGAAGTGGCCACCAGCTTCCTGATGGACAACACTGACCTCCACATAAACATGAAGGTCTCATCCGTAAAATAAACAATGTGGGTGCCCACAACCACCACCTTAAACCAGCGGCCGCCAACCAGTGGTCAGCGAGACAATTTTATTTGTGTATTGTATGTAACCGTTATATGTAAATATAATGTATTTAATAGTTTGAATTTATTAACCATTATTTCTTGTCTGGTGGTCCGTGGGATCCACATTAGTGGTCCGCGGGTTTTAAAATGACGGATTAGGTGATCGGTGAGCTCGGAAAGGTTGTCGGCCGCTGCCTTAACCAAAGGGGGCTCTAATGAGCTCCTTCCGGGATTTCAACGTAAAACTTTGCGAGCGTCGCTGCTCTTATCTTCGCTTCTCCCTCATTGCCGCCGTCAAAGGTGTTCTAGAATAAAACGCTTATTTTTATGCACGTTGAATACATCAGCTTGAATACATCGCATGAATGTATCGGCTTGAAAGCACTGCTTGAATGCGTGTGCTTAGCGTGCAGTGTGTGTGTGACTGCATCCTATCGCCTGATGGAGTGTCAGGAAATGTTCCATTAGCTTATGATGTCACATTGTATTTGTATTTTCATTAAATTATTTTATTTTGCTAAAGATAGTGTCTGATAGAGATCTTTGGTTTATTTCGTTATTTTTTCCTTTGTAGTTTAAGTGTAAGCTTTTCAAGCTGGAACTTCGTCTCTGTGTAGTGTGCCCTCTCTCTCTCTCTCTCTCTCTCTCTCTCTCTCTCTCTCTCTCTCTCTCTCTCTCTCTGTCTCTCTCTCTCTCTGTCTCTCTCTCTCTCCTGCTGAGTCTTCAATTCTCTTCTCTTTGAGAGACACAAATCTGCTTTTGCAACTCCAATTTGTTTCACTGGAGGCTCTGAATACAAGGCTTGTGAGGTAACCCAACAATCCAGTAGCCTCTAGGTCATCACTTCTCCCGGAACTTCATTGATCAACAGTGTACTCAGCGGCCTCACTCCCCGCCTTAAGCTCAGGAAGAATCGTCTGCGCCAACCACCAGCCGTCTTTGATGAGACTGATATAATGAGATGTTATTCAACTCTATATTTAGGCTCGCCTGCAGGACAGGTCGCCACCACCTTCTGGCTCCCACAACGTCCACAAATGACAGGTTTTCTATTCATTTGATCTCCATTATCTTTTGACAGGTGTGCGACAATAATAATGAGTTTATTCATTGTGTCTGCCTGTCAATGTATTTCTGTCTGCCTGTTTGTCTATGAATGCTAGTCTATGTGTTTCTCTCTGCTTGTCTATGCATGTTTATGCAAGCCAATTTCTGATTCTCTGTTTGTGTGTTTGCATATATATGAGTGTTTAAAAATGCTTCTCCGTGTCTTTGTCTGTCAGTCTACCGCTGCGGGTTTCTGTCTGTCTGTCTTGGTCTGGCCGTTGCTCTGCCTCAGGTAATCTTAGGACAGGAACTTAGCTGGAGTTGTTGCTTCTAAGTTACAGCGTGGGGCAAAGTTTAAATATATATTACTTGAGCGCCTTGGAGTTATTGTCAAAAAATTAAGCTGGAAGGAAATTGAAAAACTTTTTTGGAACGAACTTTCGCTTCCGATGTTTTTTTCTTCCATTTTCTTTTATATTTTTAATTTGGAGTACGCTTCCAGGTGTACATATGTGTGTGTGTGTGTGTGTGTGTGTGTGTGTGTGTGTGTGTGTGTGTACTCACATAGTTGTATTCACCTAGTTGTGTTTGCGGGGGTTCACCTCTGGCTCTTTCGGCCCGCCTCTCAACTGTCAATCAACTTATATATTTTTTTTTTTACACACACACACACACACACACACACACACACACACACACACACACACACACACACACACACACACACACGCACATCATCTACCCAGACAAACAACAAGCCCATCTCCTCCCACACACCCTGCCCCTCACCACCCCCTCATACACCCCCTCATACACTCCCTCATACACTCCCTCATACACCCCCTCATACACTCCCTCATACACTCCCTCATACACCCCCTCATACACCCCCTCATACACCCCCTCATACACTCCCTCATACACTCCCTCATACACCATCCCCCTCTCGCCTCATCACTGTAACCATTTTCACAAGAAACAGTTTTCATCACAGAAAACGTCTTCACACAATACCCATCTCCACTTGCACACACTCGCCCCATAGCACAATAACCATCTTCACTACACACTATCTACATCGATGACATCAAAATGTTGTACCCAGAATGCAACTCTGTCATTTGAACATTCGTTTTGACTGTCGATATCTGACATGCTAATAGTTAAATGAACAAATCCACAAGGGCCGTGACGAGGATTCGAACCTGCGTCCCGGAGCATCCCAGACACTGACTTAATCGACTGAGCTACGACAGGGTAAAAAAAAAAGAGTTGAAACTGAAGTTCTACTGAACTTACTGGATCCCGTAGCCTCTCCGAGGCACAAACCAGGATTTTACACAACTCCCCCCTGCACCCGAGCTATGTCAATAGGCCGTTCTCCCTCTTCGCCCTTATATCATTACATTATTTCGAATCATCGTCACGGCCCTTGTGGATTTGTTCATTTGATGCATCACGTTAGTGTGATCTCTGTGTGTAATGCTAATAGTTAAATCAATGCTAAACTCTACGGATATTAGAAATGGTTGATACGGTTGGAAGAAGCTGTCACCCAAGCAACAGGTTGACAGGTTTTCGGCGCTTCTCCACGGCGCCGAAAGTCTCCAATGGAAAGACAAACGCCAATACGACTGGTTCCAGCGCCGTCGCAGGAACTGTATAAGCTCCGGAGTTGACATGGAAGTTGGTGAAAGAAGGCACAGGGACTCCAACCCCGGAGACCGCCGTGGTCGGGGCCGGAGAAGAACCACCCCATCAAGGGTATGAACGACCCCAGCCTCCTGAAGCAGAGCCTGGGGGGCCGCACGAGCCCCAGGAGGTGGACGTCCCGGTCCCGCACCTACGGGTTCCTGACAGAGATCGTCACAGTCCTCTTTCATCCGAGGCCGGCTTCCTTCAAGACCAAGCAGAAGGAAGAGTGATAATTATTAAATACAACAATTATTATTATAATAATTATAATTATAATTATAATAATCATAAAATTAATTAATATATCATTCTTCCTTCTGCGTGGTCTTGAAGGAGGCCGCCCTCGGGTGAACCAGGGCTGTGAAGAGCTCTGTCTGGAACCCGAGAGACCTATTCCCTGTTCAAGGGTGGCACAGGGGCTCATCCCCACCACCCAACCAGACTCTAAATAAAACAACCAATTTCAACCTTCAGTAGACAAACAAATAAACATTCTCTATAATAGATGGAGTTCCCGGCAGTGCCCAGGTCTCTCTCTCCCTCTCTCTCTCTCTCTCTCTCTCTCTCTCTCTCTCTCTCTCTCTCTCTCTCTCTCTCTCTCTCTCTCTCTCTCTCTCTCTCTCTCTCTCTCGCTCTCTCTCCCACGCTTCTTCCCTTCCATATTCTCTCTCTCCTTTTCTCCCCAAATTCACTTTGCCTTTGCCCCTTCCATTCTCTCTCCCAGTTGGAAAAATCATGGTAAAGTTGAATCAACATTATCGATGTTGAATTAACGTTGAATGAACGTTACAATGTCGATCACAGCCAGGAAAGTGTGTTGAGAAACTCTATGGACACTCACACCCACATTTCACACTTCCAGGGAGTCGTTGGGTGTCTCCAGTCAACACATTAGACAACGGACGGTTAGAAAAGCGTCTAGTAACGAGCCATAATGTCCGTCTAACTCCACCGTTACTCTCGTTACTTGCGAGAGACAACGAGAACTTTATTATTAACGTAAATTTTCGTTAAGGAATATTACGTATAAATTTCATCTCAATACAAAGTTTAAACATTAAATAATAACATATACATAATTATAGAAGTTTGCTAATTAGTGTGGAAAGGAATAATTAAGACACAAATGATTTAATTACCAATGCTGAGAACTGCTTAAAAAATGTGAGAAAATGAAGGCAAATTAATTTATAAAAAGTTGGGGAAAAAGTTTCCCCGGTTCACCCCAGTAACTCCCGGGCCGGGAAAATCCTCGCGCATTTTATACATTTTCCAGGCCATGGCCTCCTGGAAACTGGGTCGTGGCCTTCAGGAGTCTAGGTCGTGGTCTCCTGGACTCCAGGCCATGGTCTCTTGGATTCCAGGCTATGGTCTCCTGGACGCCAGGCCATGGTCTCCTGGACGCCAGGCCATGGTCTCCTGGACGCCAGGCCATGGTCTCCTGGACGCCAGGCCATGGTCTCCTGGATTCCAGGCTATGGTCTCCTGGACGCCAGGCCATGGTCTCCTGGACGCCAGGCCATGGTCTCCTGGACGCCAGGCCATGGTCTCCTGGACGCCAGGCCATGGTCTCCTGGACGCCAGGCCATGGTCTCCTGGACTCCAGGCCATGGTCTCCTGGACGCCAGGCCATGGTCTCCTGGACTCCAGGCCATGGTCTCCTGGACTCCAGGCCATGGTCTCCTGGACTCCAGGCCATGGTCTCCTGGACTCCAGGCCATGGTCTCCTGGACGCCAGGCCATGGTCTCCTGGACGCCAGGATAAGCCTCCTGGATTCCATCCATGGTCTCCTGGATTATGCCATCACGTGAGCCTGGATGGGAAGGATGGAAGTGTTCCTTCATGTCTAATAAACCCCAACGTTCGGTAAGGTTATCTGTTTTTCGAAGGTATATAGGTTACCGGTTTACCCGGCGGTGCCCGGGTCGGCCCTGTGCCCACGTGTCTCCCACTGGCACCCGGAGACAAGCCGTGGCAGAGACCCCTAACCTCTGTAAGCCGGTCTATATGTCGTACGAGGGCAACTTGAACACGATGCAAATTATATAATGATTAAGTTTCATAGGCTGTAATTTTTATTAAAGTTATTATTAGTGCACAAGCGCTAGGATATCACAATAGCGTGATATCTTCGCGGAAATCTTTGGAGCAGTGAGGGCATTGGACCAGCGTGCTGGTGGCCCCAGACACGCGCCATAACCCAGGGTGGGTGTCTGGGAGCACCCAGCACGCCGGCTCCATCTCCATCCTCCTCCTCTAATGACTTTTTAATGCATAGTTCATCCTGCTGGTCAGAGTACTGTCGCTGAACTGTTTATTTACCTGATGTATGTATTTAGTGATCACCTATATACATTACCCAATTAGAGGTGGTACAGGGGGTAGAAGACTTCATAATTCTGTTAGCAAGCTTTAAAATTTCCCTGCTCATACTTTATGTTAAGACGCACTCATACCAGTTTTCCCTGCAACACAACCCGCAAGTTGCTTTACAACCAGGTTCAGTATTATTGTTGGATGAACATTAGAGAATAGTTAATAATTCTTGCCTGATTATCCCTCTCTATCCACAGTTTGAACCCAGACACAGCCGCCCCTGCTGCGTGGGGAGCATAAAATACACGTGAGATCAAAGTGCTATATTTAGAGTCTGCGTGGATGAGGATAATCCAAGCACCAGCTAAGACTAAAGACTGATTATATTTGACGTTTAACTAATGTTATATAGCGTACGTGTGCTAAAATGACACTCATTTTCCCATACTCCATTTACCCTGGAGGTGGCAAGTCCCAGTTGGGTTCTGAGTCTTTGTTAAGTATATCAAAAACGGCCTTTAGTGTCTCTCTGTGATTATTATTATTAACATCTTTATTGACAAAATTAATTACAATTTTGCCTAATCTGAGAATTTTGATAGTCTTATTAAATTGAGGTTAATACTAGTATTCACTGTCACGCAGGACAGAGGGTCATACATAAGACAATAGGTCTAAACTGTAGGCTGAAAGTGATGATTAGGATTACTGTAGTCCGGATTAACCAACTTAAAGACTTCTACATTATGAGTCATTCAGAAATAATGCTAAAATGTTCACTCTTACACTCTGGTAATTGGTGAAGGTTTATATTACGGCGGAAACCTCTATTACAGTAGAGGTTCGTGTTATGGTGAAGGTCTCTATTATATCGACGTGCTCTATTACAGTGGCCACTATTACGGTGGCCTCTCTTACAGTGGCCTCTATTACGGTGGCCTCTCTTACAGTGGTGTCTATTACGGTGGCCTATCTTACGGTGGTGTCTATTACGGTGGTCTCTATTACGGTGGTCTCTATTACAGTGGTCTCTATTACAGTGGTCTCTATTACTTTAGTCTCTATTACAGTGGTCTCTATTAGTGGTGTCTATTACAGTGGTCTCTATTACAATGGTCTCTACTACAGTGGCCTCTATTACAATGGTCTCTATTACAGTAGAGGACAGTCGAGGAAATGAAGTCGAAATCGGATTTTTTTGGTTCAAGTCCGGATTTAGCTTCAGTCCATTCTAGGCTCCGTCTCGTGTGAGGAGAGAGTTCCCGGTCGAAGTATACATCAGAATTAATTGAGACTAAGAATATAGATAATGGGGACCAAGTCAAAGAAGAAAATATAGTTCTTGGGCTCCAGCTCTCGTTCCCAGTCGTAGTTCATCTACGTAATTTAGAAGGTATTTGACAGTCATGGAATTTAAAAACATAGACACTTCTAGCTTTTAGGAAGTATTTTCTTTCAAGCCTTTTATACCTGCAAACTGTGTGCAACATTGCAATTGCAAGCAAAGCTATAGTGGGGAAAATGATTCAACAAGTGTCCTCTCCCTTCTTCCCTTCCCCCCTCCTTCCCTACTCTACCTTCTCTCCCCTCACCCACCTCCGGCTCTACGTAGAGTTCTCTTAACCCTGGAAACACAAACCGAAACTGTCCTTATTTTCCGCTCGTTACAACTTGTAATAAAGTTGTTACATCCTGGCTTAACATGTTTATGACGTATTAGAACATTGTTACAACTTGCTATATTGGTTGTTATAACTGGTTAGGTGTTAAAACTTGTTCGAACGTTGTACCAACGTCGTAGTTTCGGTGTGTGTTTGGAGGGTTACACCTCTGTGTAGCGTTTCCTCCACCCATCCTCTCTTCCAACTGTCTCCTCCTACCACTTGACGGTAGAGCGACGGTATCTCTTCATGCTGGTCGGCGTTCAATCCCCGACCGTCCAAGTGGTTGGGCACCATTCCTTCCCCCCCGTCCCATCCCACATTTTTATCCTGATCCCTTCCAGTAATATGTATAGTCGTGGTGGCTTGGCGCTTTCCCTTGGTAGTTCCCTTCCTTTCCTCCAGCAGTGCATCCACGTCTCCTGCTCCACCCGGCTCCACCCGGCTCCACCCGGCTCCACCCTCTGTAACCCGCCCACGTACAACCCGCTTCTCCCCGCAAACAGAGTGGTAGACGGTTGGAACAAGTTAAGTGAGAAGGTGGTGGAGGCCGAGACCGTCAGTAGTTTCCAAGAGTCATCTGATAAAGAGTATTGGGAAGACGGGACACCACGAGCGTAGCTCTCATGCTGTAACTACACTTAGGTAATTAACCGCTTCCCCCCTCACAGCCCCCCCCCTCACAGCCCCCTACCCCCTCAACACCTACCAACTTTGAAATAGCCTAAACACTTGTCAGCTTCGCATTTCTTTCTCTCTCGCATTGTTAAAACAATGTGATGTTTACCTATATCCGTTCCACGAGACTTGGTTCCACGAGACATGGTTCCACGAGACTTGGTTCCACGAGACATGGTTCCACGAGACTTGGTTCCACGAGACTTGGTTCCACGAGACATGGTTCCACGAGACATGGTTCCACGAGACTTGGTTCCACGAGACTTGGTTCCACGGGACGAAGTCTTGTGGAACAATGTTTCTTGAACTGTTAAACAGTTAATAGTTCGCTTTACTCTTCATCTTACTGCTAATCTTCTTATCCACCTCACTCGCAGCTATATCACCATACATAATATCGTTCAAGCAATACATTACTTAAAAACTAAAGATCTTTAATGATCTTCCATTTACACGTATCACCAAACAGATTACAGACAAATATCGAGTCTCCATAGTTCCCCAAACAGTCAGAATAATACTTGTTTGAGAGTATTAATTTCAGCACATTAGAAGCAAGACACACTAGTTAACTAACACATTGACACACCCTGACAGACAGACAGACAGACAGACAGACAGACAGACAGACAGACAGACAGACAGACAGACAGACAGACAGACATATTCCAGTGTTGACCATCTCATTTACATAGTTTGTATATGCCACACTTCCTAACAAAAGCATTAAGTGACAAAGGCAAGGGAAAAGTTTTGGGAAATACAGGGAAAATGCGGGATACAAATTAGACTTCCCCAAGACCTAACTTGCTGAGTGTATATGTACTGAGATTAACTGTTTCGTCAGGAGACTGGAGGTTGTAAATATACTTGCCTATGAATGATGTGAAAATGTTCGCGGGAATGTGTGGAAGAGAAGTATGTGGGGTTCGAGAATACAGATGGTAAAACTGTACTTATCTAAGAGACAGTATAGAGTAACAGTGTTTAATGCACTAATGTGTATGGTAGTGAGATAGTTTGACGCAACATGCAACATGTGATGGCTGAAGTAAAGCGGTGGAGATGAGATGTTGGAGTGATGCTGTACATAATAGCATAAGGTATCCATTTTCTATAAGTTAAGTGAGAGAATATGCTGCAACACTGAAGCTATCTTGAAAGTCTTAACATTCCAAACTATTATTAAATATTATATTTGTACGACGTAAAAATAAACAAAAATCCATCAAAAAACAACATTGTTGTTTCGGGGTGGATTTGTTAGGAAACTCGCATCGTCTCCGAATTTATCTTGGTAAATCTCGGCTACTGAGCTAAGAAATCCTTAACACCCTGATGTACACACATTCGTTATCCATATATTTCCCCAGTGAGTGTGTTACGTAAATCTTTCTCACTTCCCTGTAAACGTTCAGACCATCTGCGTCACACACGGCCCTAAGCCCTCCACATACCTGCCAAGGTTCACCAACCTTACAAAAAAAGGTATTATATCTCCAGTCACGAAATCTGGTATCATCACTTCCTTCCTAAAACCTAAGTTGTTTGGAATATTCTCTACAGCATTCCTTCTCCGCCTCTCACTTACAGTCCTCTGAATCTCCAGGTCTTCTCTCACGCTGGAATTCCAGGGCTCTCTGCCCTGGAACATTGACTCTTATAATCTAATCTAAGAGCTTCCATTTCAACCGCTTCCATCCCCATATGATTGCGCTTTCCTCTCAGACCCTTCAATTTTGCCCTTTTCTCTCCTCTCATTTTCTAACTCCATTCATCTTCACTCCGGCTGCAAGCTTCACTACTTGTGCCTCATAACTCAACCCTGTAATGAGGTCCTGACCTCATCAACAGCTTCTCCGTTGTTCCCTGACATATTCACTATTCAGGCGACTTCTGCCAGACATTCTCACCAGTCACTACACCCACCAGACGCGACAGTCACCTCTGCTCTCCTCAACACCCTCACCAGTCACTACACCCACCAGACGCGACAGTCACCTCTGCTCTCCTCAACACCCTCACCAGTCACTACACCCACCAGACGTGACAGTCACCTCTGCTCTCCTCAACACCCTCACCAGTCACTACACCCACCAGACGCGACAGTCACCTCTGCTCTCCTCAACACCCTCACCAGTCACTACACCCACCAGACGTGACAGTCACCTCTGCTCTCCTCAACACCC